TTTTTCCCCCTCTTGGAGTTAATAATTGCTTCTTTTATTTATGTATTTATTTTCTGTGCTATTGTTATTAGTAGTGACATCACTAGGGGTGGTGTCATCCAGTGTGATAACTCATGGTGTTATTCCCTATGGACCTCCTTCTGTATCAGACCATGCAGAATCCAAAGTAATATTTATTAACAATTTTAATCATTGAATAACATGAGATATAGTTATAAATTGCTTAAATGTAATATTTCTTAGGTTATATGAATACTAACAACAAAATTGTTTTATGAAATGTTTCTACATTGAAACATTAGTACTACATCATTAGTTACTAATAATTCAGTACAGTATTAGTACTACATTATCAGTAACTGAGAGGAAGCCTTTTTTGATTTTTCTTCTTTCCCTTTAATTACTACTTCCTTCTCAAAAAAGTTATTGGTATAGGTTCAAAATTGCTACTTACCACAATATTGTAACTAAAATACCAGAAAATTTGTAAACATCAGTGATTATAAAAACACTGGCAGCAACAAAAACAAAGATGCATGCTTCAGGGTGTACAGATGAAACCACGTGATTAGAATTGTCACTGTAATTGGATGATAATGACAACATTGACTGGATAGCATTAGAAGGGTCAAAAAGTAAATTATTATAGAATTTTAGCCTTGTAGGTGTATTGATACATGTAATCTGAGCTTACAAGAAAACTGGTTTTGTTGCTATAACTAACTACAGAAATATTTTTACAAAAATCAATAAATTCTGTTGAAACACAGCACAAAAATTTTATAGACAGTCTAGAGAGTGATTTTGCTGTCACCCTCCCTGACAATGTCACCTAGTGTGGTCCACACCCCCTCTCACCCTCCTAGTGATGCCACTGGGTGCTAGGTTCCATTGAGTCAACTCTGACTCATGGCAACCTTTTCTATAACAAAACAAAGTATTGCCCAGTTGGACCTAGTGCCATCTTTATTATGATAGTTGGTATGTTTGAATTAATTGTAGTAGACATTGTGTCAATCATCTCATTGAGTGTATCACTCATTTTTGCTGGCCCTCTGCTTTACCAACCATGATATCCTTTTCTAGTGATTGATCTCTCCTGATGGCATGTCAAAAGTAAGCAAGCCATAGTCTTGCCATCTTTGCTTCCAAAGAGCATTCTGGCTGTATTTTCTATGTGCCTATAAAGTTTGGGCAATATATTTCTGTAGTGATATTGTCTCAGAAACCCAAGGAGGGGTCGCTATGAGTCGGGTCTGACTCAACAGCACATAGCAATAACAGCAACATTACCAAATCATCCCCTAACTGACTAATTCATCCCAAAGTTCCATTCAAGTGGTCAAACATTATCAACTTCATTTATAGTTTTGAAACATCTCTCCTAGTGCCTTCTTCACTCCTAGGTAAGTCTGTGTTGCCTCTTCCCTTGGCCTCATGCATAGGTATAATCTTGGGATCTCCCTTCACTATTCCTTTATCTCTTCTCTATGTTGAATTCCTTATTTTCTGGATGTTGTCTTTTTCTGTATTTGTTAATGCTCTTATTTTTCTTGATGGAAGAGTACAACCTTTGGTAGCTTTCTGAGAATGGAAAAATGGGAGATATGTTTCTTGAGACATAGCATGACTAAAAGTACTTTCATTCTGCCTTTATACTGGAATAATATTTTAGCTGGGTATAGTGTTCTGGGCTTGAAATATTTTCTCATCAAATATTTTTGACGCTATTGACGTTTTCAGAATCCTAAATGCTCCCTTGTACTGCTTCTTTGTTGTCCTTTCTTCCTTGAGAAATAGCCGCTATTCTGCCTTCTCTCCTCGTTGATTAATTTTGCCTATTCTATAAGGAATACTGGGCAATCACTTCCATAATGATACTGCCTCGGAAACCCAAGGAGGGGTCGCTGTGAGTTGCATCCGCTTCCACCACAGTGAGTTTGGTTTCTGGTTTTGGTTTATTCCATATTTCTATATACTCTTTTTTTTTGGGGGGGGGAGTGTTGGCCACCAAAATATCTGTGAAAACACCCACATTACTACATGCATCAGTATTTTATTATTATTATTATTTTTAGATTCATGTGCTGTATATCATCACATTAACTTACTACCCTACTACCCTTGATTATCCATTCTCCTCCTAACAATGGAGATTTGGGTTATTTATAATCTTGGTTGATATTAACAATGCCACTATAAACACCCTGTACATTTTCTGGTGGACATATTAATCATTTCTCTTCAATGTACACTCAAAAGTGGGACTGCTGAGTGGATCCCTATCATAACATATATTTAGTTTAGCATATATTGTTCAACAACTTTACAAATAAATTTACATTTCCATTAGTCAGTTTTAAGGATTTCATTGGCTCTACATCCTTGATGGGAACTTTGGTAGCATAGTGCCTAAGGCACTTGACTGCTAATCAGAAGGCTGGCAGTTCAAACCCATCAGCTACTCCTCGGAAGGAAGATGGGGCAATCTACTTCCGTAGTGATACTGCCTCAGAAACCCAAGGAGGGGTCACTATGAATTGGGTCTGACTCAACGGCACATAACAACAACAACAACAACATCCTTGATGAAATATTCTATTGTCAGTCTTCTACAACTGTATTCATTATAATATTAATTTGCTTATCCTTGATGAGTAAATATGTTCATTGACCACTTAGACATCTTTTTTTGTGAAGTATCATTCAAGTCACTTGCTTATTTATTTATTTTAAAAGTAGGGCTATTAGTATTTCTTATTGATTTGTAGAAATCTATTATATATTATGGAGATAGCTTCTTTGTTGGATATATGTAGTGCTGTGCTGGTAAACATTTATTAATGGGCTCTGTGAAAAATAAACCAACAAATGCCCTGATTTATAGCTCTGGACAATTTCCATAGTGTAAATAATCACACTGTAGCCAAGTCTGAGCTACCAACATGATGTTACTGAACATAGAACTGGAAAGAGAGGTGCACCACCAGTTCTTGTGAGCTGGTACCAACATCCTTTAGCACACCACTGGATATGTATATTACAAATAACTCATCCTTGGCTTTTCATTCTCTCAATGGCAAGTTACAGTTTCATGAGTTTTGAGAAAGATATACATCTGTGTAACCACTACCAAAAGTAAAATATAGAAACTTTTTATCACTTCAAAAATTTCCTAAGTGACCCTTCTCAAGCAACTCCTCACCCAAGGAAACTTCTAGATTTCTTATCTACCTAGATTAGAATTGTCTTTTCTTATTTCATATAAGTTGAATTATAAAGTATGTACTCTTTTCATCTGGCTTCTTTCCTTCAGTATATAATGCGTTGGTTTTCTTCTTTAATTCTGTCTTAGTTCTTTAGTGTTTCTATAACAGAAATACCACAAATGGATGGTTTTAATAAACAGAAATTTATTCTCTCACAGCTTAGGAGGCTAGAAGTCTGAATTCAGTGTGCTAGCTCTAGGGGAAGTCATTCTCTCTCTGTCAGCTCACAGTTTAGGAGGAAGATCCTTGCCTCCTTTCAGCATCTATGGTCTAAAGTTCCTTGGAGATCTCCATGTCATGGCATTAATCTTCCCTTGGGTCTAGGAGGTTCTCAGTGCAGGGATCGGGGTCCATGCCTGAGTCTTCTTTCTTGGTGGTACTGAGGTTCCCCTGATTGCTGCTTGCTTGTTTAATCTCTTTTATATCTCAAGGGATTGGCTCAAAATACAGCCTAATCTTGTAGATTGTGTCCTGCCTCATTAACATCACAGAGTTTAGGATTTACAATGTTGTTGTTGTTGTTGTTATGTGCCGTCGAGTCGGCCCCGACTCATACATCAGATCACGAAATGGAGGATAATTACATAATACTGAGAATCATGGCCTAGTCAAGTTGACACATATTTTAACCTAACTAATCCACTGCCATCAAGTTGATTCTGACTCATAGCGACCCCTATTTGGTTTCCGGGGTGGTAAATATTTATGGAAATAGATTGCCCAGTCTTACTTCCATGGAGTGGCTGGTGGGTTTGAACACCAACCTTCTGGTTAGCAGTCAGATGCCTTAGGTACTATACTACCAGAGCTCTACTTGGCTAGGCTATGATTCTCAGTATTATGTAATTATCCTCCATTTTGTGATCTGATGTAGTTATCCTATGTGTTGTAAATTCTAAACTCTATGGTGTTAACGAGGCAGGACACATATTTTGAGGGAACATAATTTAACCCATAATAGCAACCAAATCTCTTACACATTGGATTTTGACCCAAGTAGTAAACAGAGAGCAGTGCCTCACTTAAAGATGGCAGCCAACTGTGCCACTTGGAATGTGTGTTGGTAGAATGAATTCTGATTAATTTAATCATAAAAGGGTTTTATTGGAAGGACATGACACAGCTCACAAAAAATAGGCTCAGGAGTAAGGACAGAAGCCAGGACCACAATAAGTTCTGTGTTGTTGCTGTTGTTGTTATGTGCCGTCGAGTCAGACCCGACTCATAGCAACTCCTCCTTGGGTTTCTGAGGCAGTATCACTAAGGAAGTAGGATTGCCCAACCTTCCTTACGAGGAGTGGCTGGTGCGTTTGAACCTCCAGCCTTCTGGTTAGCAGTCAAGTGCCTTAGGCACTACGCTAGCAGAGCTCGGACAGGATTATTTGATAGGTCTGAAAAGATGGCAGTGTAGAGAAACCAACTCTAAGTATTCTTTTCTTCCCTTGCTTCATTCAGCACAAGATTCAAAGGCCTGGGAGGGTCCAGCTGATCAAGCTGGGGTCACTGACAACCCATGATTGGGGAGGCAGGGCATGTTGATTAGGGGAGGAAATAATAGGAGTGCTAGTGCCCAAAGCATCTGACTGCTAACCAGAAGGCTGGACATACAAACCCACCAGCCACTTCTCAGAAGGCAGGTTGGGCAATCTACTTCCATAGTGATACTGCCTTGGAAACCCAAAGAGGGGTTGCTATGAGTCAGATCCAACTTGATGACAGTGAGTTTTTTCTGTTCCAGGAGGGGAAGACTTTGAATGGCATAAATGCCAACCATGGCAGGGCCACAGGGAGGTACATGGTCAGTGGTGTAGGGGATTAGCAAAGATTCCAGGTAGGGTAGGTAGCAGTGAGATTTTAAGCCTTGGGGTGACCTTAGGAAATCCACTCAGCAGCAGGGCTTCTGGCTGGATGATGGGCCACAGCAAGCTGGGCAGGGACACATGGGGCGGCAGAGCAGGGACATGCAGGAGGAGGAGGAGGGTGTACAACAGGAAGAGGTGGGCACACAGCAGGTGGGCTTGCACACAGGATGGCAAAGTAGGGAAATGCAGGAAGAAGGTCTACAGCAGGAGGGAGCACGAACAGAAGGCTGGCAGCATGTGGAGTTCAGGCAAGGAGTAGCCTCACAGCAGACAGGCACACAACAGATGGGTTTACAGCAGATGGGCACACAGCAGGCCTGCTGGCAGGGGGAGGATGTGCAGCATGCAGGCTGGCAGCTAGACTGCTGGCAGCAGGAGGGCTCACAGGAGCTGGTGCAGACAGATTGGCAGGGACTGGCCCCACAGGCTGCCTGGCAGCAGGAGCTAGACACACAGTTCACAGGGGTGCAGATGAGGGTCAGGCAGGATGCTGGGGCACAGCAGATGGGGGCATCCGTGGACTGACAGGAGGTAGGGGCACAGCAGGTGGACTGGCAGCAGGTAGAGGTGCAGCAGGGGGGTTCACAATAGCTCTCAGGGCAATCATCCACCTCCCAGGAGGAACTGGTATAAGCACCAGGCAAGCAGACACAGCTGCCATAGCTCCTGTCACTGGAGCAGATGGACATGGTAGATGCATCTGGAGCATAAGTCCTGGAGCAGCAGGTGTCAGCCATGGTAAGGGTGGCAGGAGGTGAGCTGTGAGGAGGGTGTGAGTGAGTGAGGGTGTGAGTGTGTGAGTAGCTCTGGGTTCTTGGGGCTTTTATGTTCCTCTGTGTTGTTTATTGTTCCGACAAGAGACTCAACAAGCCTCCCTTTCCTTGTTGTTATTTGAAATCTTGGAAACTCTAATTAATACCAGTCCAGTGTTCTGTCTATGGGGTGTTGCTTACCTTGTAAAACTGAGTGTAATTTGGGGTTTTGTTGGCCCATCCTGGCCTGTGTCTGCCTCCAGAATATAAAGTTGGGGAAGAAAGGCTATATGTTTGCAAATAGAGTTTCCTTGTGTCTGGGTGGATGTTGGATTGGCTGCACAAGAAATCCATTCATTCTCATTTAAATCATCTTTGGATTGGTCAAAGAACACATGGGATGGCTTCTGTGTGTACAGTTGTTGGAAACTCGGAATTTGTCCGGACTCCCAGAATGGAGAAATTCAGGTCAAAGAGGGTGTGAGGCCTGATAGGCTCCTAGAGGTGACTCACCAGAACTATCTGTGGTGCAGGAAGTTCCCCTTAGGGCTTTAGTGCAAATGGCAGACATATAAGGGAGGGACAGTCCTGTGATGGTACTCCCCATGTAAGATAGCAGAGTCCCTATGTGTGTACACACTCCTGTCTTCTGTTCCAACATTCAGTAAGACTCTAGATCTCTGTATCTGGCCACAATCTTCACCTCTCCACTTGCAATTACTCCAAATACTTCCAACCCATATGCCTATAAACATCTCCCCTTCAAAAACAGCACAGCTATCCACAACAAAACTTCCAAGACGTAAACCAAAAAATATCGTTTTTGTTTTCCTTTATTTTCTTGATTGTTAACTAAACAATTCCTTGGTTCTCTAAGCTAGAAACCTGAAAGGCATCCATATTTCTCCCTTTTTCCACAAATTATATCCAATTGGCCGCCAAGTCCTATTGCTTCTCTGCTAAATATTTTCACATCCTATCTGGGTCCTATCAGGAACCTCAGGAGTGGTAGGATACCCAGGTTAAAATGGGTGGGAGGCAAGGCTAGTCCCCAAGCCCCTTAGAGCCAGGAAAGCGAGGGACCAGGAGCGGTCGGGGACCACAGAACGGCAGGTTTCAGGTAGGAATTAGGTAAGAGGAGGGTGCAGAGGTTTCCAACAGGTAAGGGAGATAAACTTGTCTGTCAGTTTGTCATCCTGCGAGGCTTGAGGCTGTGCCACTGGGGTTTCAGATGCCAGCGGAGTTGCACATGGTGCACAGGTTTCAACACAGCTTACAGACTAGGAAGAAGGAGGAGGCCATCCACTTCTCAAAAATTGGCCAGGGAAAACCTTATGAATAGCAGAGAAACACTATCTAATACATTACTGGGCAACTTTATAAATAGCTTGGAAACATTGTCCGACACAGTGCAGGAAGACTAGTCCCTCAGGTTGGAAGGCACTCAAAATAGAACTGGGACCCTCAAATATGATGGCGAAATTAGGAGATTTCCAGATAAGCAGAAACCAAGGGAATTTGTTAAAACCAGACCAACCTTACAAGAGATACTAAAGGGAGTCCTTTGAACAGAGAACCAAAAATAGCAAATAATAACTGACCATTAATACACAAGATAACATAACCCAGAAACCACA